TGGGAGTTGAAGTCCACCCATCTTCAAGTCGCCACGGTTGAGAAACACTGATATAAACAAATGCCAGAGCATTGCTGGGGAACTTTATGCTCCCCCCACCCCCAAGGTTGTCGGGCTCTCTTTTAGCCAGCACGGCCAATAGTCAAGGATGATGGGAATTGCAATCCACAAAGTCTAGAGCAACGTGGGATTCCCCCCACACCGCACCTGCGTCTTGCTAAACTAGTCACCCTGACACCTTCCTTGGCTTGGCGCAAACAGTGCTGCTCAAACAGACGCCTTTGGGCCAGCCTCAGTCTTCCCATCTGCAGTATGGAAAGAAAGCCATCTTTTGCACCAATGTGGGGGGGAGGAGGAGGACCCAGGCCACGCCTGTCTATGTCTTTAAAGGCACAGAAGCACCCAAAAGAAAATATCCAGCTGGCTACCTTTCCCTTTAACTTAATTTTTTTTTTTTTTTGCTACCGTCACATTTCTTCCCCCAAAGGACAATGGCTACCACATGTTTGCGGTTTTTTCTTTCCCCCAGCCCCCCCAGCCACAGTTGTGTCCTGTTTGTTGGGGAACAATAGCCGGAGAGCAGGCCAAAAATACTGTCTATGCTGGGCGCAGATCCAAGGTCCAGGCTGCCTTTCCAGAGACGCGTTATCGAGCAGACTGCACCCGTGACTCAAACCTCGCTTTCCCCCAGGGGATTCTCAAGGCAGCCGGAGCGACTAATTCATTCCAGCGAAATTTGCAGAATTTGCACTGTGATTCAGCCTCTTGGAAAGCCGGAGTTCACGGTTGAGGCTATCCTTCACCCCCTCCGCTCATTCTTATAGGGGCCCATCGATCGATTTGCAAAGACGCGCAGCCCAGATGTGCCTGCAGCTGCACGGAACAAAAACTACAAATGGGGCTGGTGAGTTACAGGTGCCACAAAGGTCCTCGACCCACTTTGCAGGCCTCGTGCAACGGCCCTGCAAGGTAGGACCTGTTGCTTGTTGGTCTGTGTCTCCTCCCAGGTCCCATTCACCTGGTGCTGTTGCAGGATTTTCCCCTTTATAGTCTTCGCACAAGAATGTGGATTGTTTTCTACGCCAAGGGCTGTATTCATGTATATAATCCAGGGACCATTATTTAGATCTTTGATATATTATTCCATTTATATCTTGCCTTCTCCTCGGAGTGCAAGGCAGCACGTCTAAACCTCTGCCCTCATTTTATCAACATGCCAGCAAGCCTGCAAGGTAGGCAGCGATGCCAAATGTTGACCAGCCAAAATTCAGAACAGTAGTGAAAGTGCTGGACTAGAAACTGAGAGATGGTGAGTTCAGGTCCTGCCTTAGGCATGAAAACCGGCAGGGTGGATTTGGGCCACCCTCTCCCTCCCTCCCACCCGGTCTACCTCACAGGGTTGTTGTGGTAGGGAAATAAGGAAGTGGGAGCATCAGGTATATACGCCACCTTCACCAAAAATAAAGGGAAAAATGGAGGAGGAGGAGGAGGATTCACACAACAGAGTAATCTGCTAAAATGGGTAAGGTAGTCTGTGCTTCCCTGGTTGTGGGAACCCAGCCCTTTTTTTAGCAGGCTATCAGAAGCAGGTCACCCTAGTATGTCATAATATAGTTTATTTGTTTAGACAAAGCATTTTCCTGAACAAAACCACTGTATTGTATTAATCCAGTTTGGGGTTTAACATGGATCAATCAAACCAGCATCTTCCATGTTAATCTGGTTTCCCTTTCCCCAACTCCTGCCCGACGCCGGCGATCCAGCAGACAAGGCTAAAAGAAAACACTGCCTTGTTCAGGAGTCCCTGCGGGGTGGGGTCAAAAAAGTCAAGATGGTGGCCACAGCGATGCATCACACATAAAAAACAGGTAGAGCTTCAAACGCACCATTATGGCTGCCTGCTTGACCTTTTTGACCATACCCTGCAGACACCTCCATTCATACATTCATATCGGCTGTGTTCACACAATATGCCTGACCCGGTTCCTGAATTAACCCATGTCCTGGCTTTTTGTGAAACGTGCGTTGACCAAAGGGGCTGAGATTGCATGTTATGTTAAGCCCCCTCCCCAAATAAAGTAAAATAACCCCAGCAACCTTAGCTTGCTGTGGGAATACTTCTACGCTCTGGATTTTCATGCATATTCTGTGAACACAGCCACTAAAACACAATTTCACACACACACATACATGCCCACACGATGCCCTCCCAATGTGCAGCAATTAGGCATTTCCACAGACGCAGTGTGGGGTGCCCCCTGTCCTGCCCAGACACGAACCCCCTTCACATTCCTTTCTTGCTGCAGAGAAGGATCACAAAAACGGAGAGAGGTAGTTTGATCCTTCGATCCTCAGCTGTGCGCTCCTGTCGAATTGCACCCGTGGCCAGAAAAAAAAAACTTTTTTTAAACAGGGAAATCGTCCCAGGCCCCACACATGGAAGGGTCCGCATCCAAAATATGGGTACAAAGTTTACAGGAAGTGGCAGTACCTAGACAATCTTCAGGAAGAAAAATACCAAAGTTAGGCTGGTTTGGACTTGGATGGGAGACCACTAGGAGATCCCAGGAAAAAAAATAGGCAAGTCTGGAGAAACCCCCCCCCCCCAAGAAACCCAAAACAAGGGAAATACTTCTTGTATCATTGCTAAAAAAAACAAGGCAGGCCTTTGAAGTCACCAGCAGCTGAGTGTGATTTTATGATACTTTGCTTCTTTGAAAGGATCCCTCCACTTCTTCATTCTTGGCAATAAAATCTGTCAGTCCAAATGTAAGAACGATACTGATGATGTCCATATTTTGGATTTCCTCAGACCCTCCTGTTTGCTGAGCAGGGGGGCCTGCAGGGCGTGGTCAGAAAAGTCAAAATGGCGGCCGCAGTGGTGCCCTCGGAGCTCCGCCAGTTCTTTATATGCAATGCATAAAAAACAGGCAGAGCTTCAATTGCCCCATCGTGGCCGCCATCTTGACTTTTTTGACCCCCACCCCTCCCCTGTACAGCCCATCGGATGACCCTAGGCGAGGGACGTTTTTCTTCATTTACCTTCCATTCTGAAAAGAAAGCAGATCCAGATCTTTCCTCTTGCCGTCTCTTCTGAACCCTGCTTTGAAAAGAGTCTAAATATAAAAGATTGGGAAACGTTGATTTAACCAGCATACGAGAGTTTTGAGCCTCACGACAACCCCCTTTGGGGGACTAGCCACCGGAGACGCACCACCTTGATAAAGCCCAGATCTTCTGCGCAAAAACAGTCAATCTCCAGACCTCACATCTCCCCCGTGGCTTCCCATTTCTTTTTCTCAGAGATTTGGAGGCGCTGCTGCTGACTTGATAATATCCGACTCAGAGCAACTCGATATAAAAAAGTTTAAAATAACAGTCTTAGGGTACTGTAAAGGCAGCGGGCCCTGCCCGTTACCCACGGACCAACTGCAGCCTCTCTTTTTTTTGTATTTATTTTAAGGGGGGTGGGGAGGTATTGCGGAATAAAAAATGTGCATTTTTTAAAAATGTAAGGGTGAATGGCCTGTGCCCCAAATATTGATTGTCTGGAGTAGAACCCTGTGGGTTTATCTTCTAGACCAGTGTTTCTCAACTTTGGGAACTTTGAGATGTGTGGACTTCAACTCCCAGAATTCCCCAGCCAGCATGGCTGGCT